TCACAACGAAACACACGGCGGGCTAGAGTGAGCGGAGGCGGGCGGGCTTGAGAACAGTACGGCCTGCGGATTCGAAGAAGGAGTGGCCGGAGGGCTTGTGGCAACCACATGTGATGACCCCGGGCTGGATTCCTCTTCGTCCACGGTGAAAGCCGATCCGGCGATCGACAGCGCGACTTTTTAAGGCAAAGTAAAGGAGTGCACTGAAGGGAACACAATACTTCAATATGTTGTCATAATGTAAATGTCTAGGTAGCAGAAAATGAGTTCTACATTTTCTACATTTACTTACGCTTTGATTTGAACGAAAACAAATGATCCGTGTGGTGCTGCTGATACGCTGTTTGCGTTCAGTAGATCCTCTCCAAATTTTTTAATGAAGTCGTTATTTTTATTTTCTTTGAAAGTATTTTTTCAAAAAGTATTCTTTGCGCTTTGCAAAATTGAAGTTGAGCCACTGATGTCACATGGACTGTTTTACCGATGTCCTTACTACGTTTCTGGGCCTGGGAACATTACAGTTGCGTTGCTGTCTATGCAGGGTCAGAGAGCTCTCAGATTTAATTAAAAATATCTTAATTTGAGTTCCGATGATGAACGAAGGTCTCACGGGTTTGGAACGCCATGAGGGTGAGTAATTAATGACAGAATTTTCATTTTTGGGTGAACTAACCCTTTAACATAGTCTTTACGGAATAGTCTCAAAAATTAACATCTTTATCACTTGCCCAAAGCTGTCTTCCTCTTAATTACATGTTCTTAAAGGCCTAGCGTGACATGAGACCCTGACAATCAATATAGACTACATCTGTAACTCAAGGGAACTCCACTTGTGACATCGACAGTCTGACTCAAGTGACAGCATAGATTCAGTGTATAACAATAAGTCCGGGTGACAAGGTCTTGTACTACAGTGTCAAGAGAGTGACAGCAGTGCTCAAAATCAATGTGACCTTAGGTCGGCATCCCATTAGCTGGTTTTTCAGCCAATAGCTTCACTTATACAGTCACTGGAGTAACAGAATGAGTGAAAGTGGCCTGTCTTGAGTGCAAGATTTCAGCAAAAATAATGAGATGTACCGTACAAAAACCACGCTGTTTCCAAACAGCTAGTGGGGCGCCACCATAACATCCTTTAAATGTGAGCAGAAATGGTGTATAATACCAGAAATGGGGAAGATCTCGCAGATGTAGACGCGCAACAGTCGCAGGCAGCAGGTGCCCACAAACCGCAGGCGCTCCAGGTCCAGAAGGGTGGCTGTGAACTGGAAGCCTTTGAGGCCCCTCAGCTCCTCCACCCCCAACACCAGCGTGGTCCAGCTCCAGTGCAGGACACTCAGCAGAGACTCGAAACAGTCCTGGGGCAAGATCAAACACACACAACTGGGAAATGAACCAAGGATCTGACCTATTATTAACTTTAACTTGTTCATTTGACTGCACAAAGTGGATAGGCCGCATGGGAAAAAAAGCACCAAGAGTCAAGGGATTTCCTTAAATAATAACAAGCAATAAAACACACTAAAGTACAAACCCTTTAGAATTGGCTGCTGCGCATCTGGTGCTTGCAATTTTTTTTTTTTTTTTTTACAGGCATAAGGATATTATATGGAAATTCAAACTAGTGTTGCTAATATATCCATTTCAGGAAACAGCAGGTCAAAATATCAGCATGAGTACATTTATGGGTCAATGACAAACAAGGTTACTAGAGATGAAAAGGAGATCTAATATATCTAATATAATACATATATATATATAATATCTCATTTAAAATATGTGCCAAGTTTTTGATATATTTATGTCTATATATTACGCATAGTTGTCTATTTATGTGTATATTTATGTTTCAAAACTTTTTGAAAAACATTTAAACAAATTTCAACCAAATATGGATTCTATGCTGTAACCATCAAGTAAAAAGTAATAGAACATTTTCTGTACACCCTGAATACATGCGAGTGTACCAATTTTTACTATATTTAAAAATTATTTAAAGAGTCCAAAAGTAATTTCCACAAAATTCATGACATTTTGAATCACATATATTTTTGATGTTTTCTTTTGGTTTTTCCATTTAACAACCCTGTCATGAAAAAAAAGTCAAAATGTATACATTAAGTTGACCGATATATTATATATATAATATATCATTAATTTATTATGTTGGTTCATTTGGCAAAATCATTTTATATTATATTAAATTTAAAAAGTAATTATACAAAACCGCTTCACTGCTTGTTAAAAAAACTATTCAAGATTTGCAGACTTTATATTAAAAACAAGACTGTTACACCACTTAGACACTTAGTTCAAAATATCACACAAAATATTAAACAATTTTAACTCATTCACCCGGTTCTATATTTGTATTTATATACTGTAGAAATATATAAATTGCATATTGCATATATATTTAATATTATATATATATATATATATATATATATATATATATATATATATATATATACATAACATTTGGGCGGTGTTATGCAAATCTTCGCACATCGTGACGTAGACATGTGGGGGCGTGTTAGAACGAGCCGTTTTAGGTAGGCGTGGTTGACTCTTAACTTTTATAAAGAATATCTCTTTGGATTTGAGACTTTAGTCTTTGCAACTTTACAGATCTTCTTTATGCACCAAGAGCTTGTAACACTCCAAAGAGAAAGGAATAATTGAAATCGCATCATATGACCCCTTTAAGACAAAGTAACAGCTGAGCCGCTATGCATCTCTATTCAAACACAGCGGTGTTTTGTTTATGAATGAACTGCATTTTAAATGAATCTAGTGAGTCAATGATTCAATTACCCATTCATAAAGACAGTCATGTACTTCGTTCCTGAATGAATCAGCCGTTCGAACGAATCAATTAAATGAATGATTCGGTGATAAAATCAGTGACTTGCCGCAACCTGCTGGCAGTTTTAGTTTAATTTTTAAAGTATCTTTTCTGTTATTTAA